GATATGGTCGAATTTGGCCGCCATTGCACAGATGGCCCGATATATCTCAAATCGGCCGCCATTGCACAAGATCTGACATGGAAGATTCTACACCGCAGGACTTGTCGATCATTTACCGCAGAACTTAGAATTCGTGTAACTGAGCGGAAATCTCGGAGGAATCATCTTTTTCCTTTCTACTGCTTCGTTTAAAGAATCAATAAACATGTCTACAACCAATACAACTTCTCCCAGTGCTGTTTCCTCTCCTCTATCTTACTCTGCTGTTCTTCAGCAACCCCCTCTTCCATCCACCTCACTTATTAAAGTTATTCCCACGACCGTTCCATTAGTCAATCCCGACGGCTCGTTTACCATATTCTCTTGGAAAAACACCAAGTCGTCGCTTACTAACAAACCTTTTGTAGGTCGTGTCCCCCCTGACACGTCCTCTCCTAACAGTCTTTTTATTGATCGTAAAGCAAACAACATATCTGATAATGCTATCAAATCTTTTTTCCGTAATGATCTCCTTGGTGTTGCCTTTTTTCCGGCTGATCGCTTTCTCCAACTCACTTTCAATGATACTACTACTTATGAAAAATATCTCTCCTTAACCTCTGTCATTATCAATGACAAACGCATTTACTTTACACCACCCAAATCTGTCCCTAGACGTTCTATTGTAGTTCACTTACATGGTTTACCCATAATGCCACGTGATACGATCAATAATGCAATCACAAATGCTCTTTCCCCTCATTGTACTGTTAAAGAAATTGCTCCTGTCCTAATCTCTGATACCAATCTCTTAACTCCAAAATGGGATGCAGTTGTTGAACTCATTCCAGACAAGGAAATCCCAGTACACCTAACAATTCTCAATTCTTCAGTTGCTCTTACATTCTTGAATTCTGCATCAATTTGCCTCTACTGCCATAAACAAGACCACATGAATAGCAATTGTCCTCTCCGTCCTCATCCACGTCCTAACCCAAGAAAAACTTATGCATTTACTAGCTCTCAAAATCAATCAAATACTAACACTAATACTAACCTTAATGTCTCTCAAGCAACTATGAATATTGATCCTCATTCTTCTACTACTAATGTAACATCATTGTCACAAAATTCCCTTCAATCTTCCATTCATGCTCCTAAGATCCCAGAAATGCTAAATGAATCTGATAAAAAAGATTACATTGATAATGATCTTTCCTCTTCTTCCTCATTCTCAAATACATCTGATAATAATAATGTCAATATTAATACCAATAGTTCCTCACAAGACAACTCCATGGATATTGAAACTGACAATAATGATGATAATAATACAGATACTCAAACTTATGAAGTTGTTACTAATCATCATTCTAAACTTCGCAGTAGTAGTAGATATACTAACTCTCATGCTTCTCTCTCCTCCCCATACCCTACTAATACTAATCGTTCTCCCCAAAACAAACAGTAATTATTATGACAGTTAGCCCTACAATAATCTCATTGAATATTAATGGTCTTTCAAATCACCACAAACTAAAATCTATCATATCCATGCTTTCTTCACACAAGCCTGATATTATATGCCTCCAAGAAACTTTTACCTCTCAATCTTCTCCACCCTCATCCTTTACACTTTCTCTTTTAAAATCTACATGGCCTGGACATTTCTTCCACACAAAACACCTTATTACCCTTATTAAACCTTCATTTTCTGCCAATTTAACTTTTATTTCTCCAGATGAACGTGTTATGGATATATCTCTCTCCTCTCATTCCTTTTCCTTTATTGTTAGAAACATTTATGCTCCTCCCTTCTTGAACTCTCAATACTGGTCATCTTTTCCTCCTCTTCCTAACTCTCCTAATCTTATATGTGCTGGAGATTTTAATACTACAATAACAACCCAATTTCGTGACAGATGGTCATCCCAACCTTTCTCTAAAAACCTTCCTAATCTTCTTCTTCTTCCCTCTCT